GAGTTTTAAGTTAAAATGTGGCCATCAAATTCATTCAGACCTTTGTGCTGATCCATCATTGCCCCCTCCTTCCCAGGAGTTCAAGTTTGACCAGGCTGGACCCAAGCCTGTTGAGGTTTTTACATGTAGGTCTCAAGTGAGTTTTTGTCACAACTAGGCATATCTCTGTGTGCTGTTTCCTACAAATCTGAGTGGTCTGGGAAAGGGAATTTCCCTGGAGAGTGACACAAGAGAGGGTATTGGCATGCCGCGTTAATTGAGCTCAGAGTTCTCTGCCTTGGGAGAGTGCTTCTTGCCATTGGTTTTGGCAGGACTGTGCCCACAATCTACCGGGGGTGCCAAAGAAATGTATCCCCATTTTAAGAGATGTTCACCATCATCAGATGTGTCTGGGGCACCTCTTGTGATTGCAGAAGTCAAATGTGACTGCGTTCATCTTTGTTATTGATATATATTGAACATTACGGTTATAATACTGTTTTTTCCTTTCTTAAAATGTGTGCTTTTTCTGGCACCCTCAGTGTGTACCTTAGGTGCCACATGCCTATAATAGAGTGTTCCTGCACGAGGACCACCTTTTCCTCTCCGAACAGGATGGTGGTAACAGAGGTGGCGAGTTTCTCACCAACTTGATTTTTCCTGCTGCCCTCCTTTCCCCAGGATTATCTGGTTTAGAGACTGGGATTTGTGGAAGGATTTGCTTTTGTTTTTCTTTTTGCCTCTGAAATTCCATGGTTTTATGAAATAGATACTCGGGGCTGCTCCTAGGCCTATGAGAGTGCTGGGGTTTCATGAACAGATAAGTTCAACCAACAAGCGTTGTGTACCCATGGAGGAGTCGAAGGAGGTGTCCCCGTGGATGAGGGACTTGCGGAGGCCAGCTGTTGGAGAGTCGTGTGTGGTGACAGCTGACGCCATGAGTTAGGGACAGATCGTGGGGGCTGGAGAGTTAGAAGAGGCTTCTGGAAGAAGTCAGTCCTGCTTTGGCCCTGTGCGGCTTCATGTTTGAAGGCTAAAGAGGAAGAGAAGACTACTGAGGAAGGAGTGCTCCCTGCCTTCTGGCCTAGGGGGACAAGGATTTAGGTCTGTGCCCTGACACAGCAAGCGAGAATGATTGGTCGGCAATCATCAGGGAGAATCTAGGGAAAAATGTAAACAAAAGAGCGTTGTGTATTCAGGCCTGCTGTACTGTAGGACATGGAGCGTGGGGACAGATGGCCGCTACTCCTGACGGGACCAATGTCTTCAGTGTCTTCAGTGATGAAGACACATAAACATCATTCTGAGTAACCAGTGAGATGTGAATCATATGTTACCCAGCTTACTCTCTTTTAGAAGATGAAGAAAGGCAGGTCGGGTTTTATTCCAGAAGATTGCAACTATTTTATTTCCGTGGCGGCACTTCGGTTCTGTGTTATGTTGTAGTGCTGTGGAAATTCTCGTTCCCTATTTTTAATGTATATGCTGAATGCCAAGCAGACCATTTTTGTAGGCGAGAACGTGCACAGCTAGCTCTTGGCGGCCTTGATAAATGTCACCCTGAGAACCTTCCAACTCTGATGCTGACTCGCTGGGGTGGGGGGAGCCGACTAGGCCCGCGGCGGCTTCTGAGTCATCCGCGCCTCTGTTTCAATAGTGTTGGTGGGGGTAGAGAGGGATGTCTACACGTCCCCTCTTTTGGTTTTTCACACACAGTTCTTGACCTTGGGAAAACTGTGAGAGCCATGCCTGTGACTCCAGGGACTCCTGTTCCAGGGTGCCTACCTCAGGAGACAGCTGGGGGCTTTGCTCTGAGCTGGCTTTCTGGGAGGCGGTGGGCTTGCCCGGTTGGAGCATATCTGCGGAGGCCCTGTGTCCGGGGATGGTGGGGCGGGACCCCTGCTAGAGCCTAGCACAGACGGAAGCCACTTCTTTTTCCAGGCAGCGTGCGACACTTACCTGTAGTCACAGAGCAGAGGGTTAAGAAGAGAGGCCAGAGGCTCTGACCCAACTGTCCTCTTGCCAGCTCCAACTTAGTGGAATTCCCTGGGCCCCTCCTTGTGGCCTGACTGAACAGGAAAAAAAAGAAAGAAAGAAACCAGCAGCCACAAGAGGGTTTTGCTTTGAAGACTGGCCTGAGGAGAACCTCTGAAAATTACCTTTTAGTTTTTAAATTTTGATCAGGGAAATCATTTTCTGCTGGTATCCAGGAACGTAGAGATGTTTCTATGTCAGTTTGGAATATGGTTTGAAGAGGGTTGAACCCCAGTGGGTGTGTGTGTATAAACTGAGTCTTTCTCATGTCTGTGCAGAGGGGCTTTTTATCTTACAAAGCCCACCCTGGAAAAGCAACACACAGGGGTGAGTGGGGATAGAGGCACACAGGAGAGAGAGGGGGAAAGGATGTGTGTGTGTGTGTGTGTGTGTGTGTGTGTGTGTGTGTGTGTGTGTGTGTGTGTATGTGTGTGTGGGGGGGGGGCTATGGTATCAGAGAGAGGGCTACGGTAAGTCTCTGGGTGGAGAAGATAAAGAAGCAGTCTGGAGAATGCCAGGGACAGAGGGAGGAGGTTGGGGCTACACTGAGCTGGAGGTCACCAGGTGAGGCCTTCAGAGCACGCAGAGTGGACTTGTCAACTCCTCAGAAAAGCTGCTCTTGTGCCTCTCGCTGGCCCCGGCAGGTAGAAGCACATACGTGCCCAACCCCGGCATATCCCAGAGTGTGAGCACGCCCATTGTCACACAGTGTATGCTCCACGTGCCTGGCTGAGAAGAAGCTCCTTCCATCTTCATGTTCCCAGGGCTTGACAGATAGCAGTACCCAATACGAGGCTCACCAGGGCTTTCAAAGTGTGGATCTGCTCTTAGGAATTGCATACTCCCCTCATGCAAGGCTGGGCCAGCTGGATTTCCCCTGACGTGTTCCCCGACTTCATGTGACGCACACAGATGGGAGGATGGTATTAAGCACCAACTGAGCGCAGATTGCTGATCTAGGCACTGCTGGGGCTATAACTAAGAAAGCTTCGCCATGATCCTGCTCTTAAGAAAATGAGCAACTTACTTCCAGATTAGACTCTGTGAAACGCTTGAAGCGGAGCCCAAGGAGAAGGGGGGTGGGAGGGAGTCGACAAGACTTCCAACAGAGATTAGTTAGGGACAACATTGTCTTGGTGTGAAGGGAAGTTCCCCGAGCCACCCTGGGAGTCCTGGAATGCAGCGTGGCCATCCAGGAATCAAAGGCACCTCCGTCCTGGTGGCCTGGCGTTGTAAATAACCCTTGTCAACCTGTCTACTTAGCAGAATGCTAGGAAGGAAAATCTAAAGGGCAAGATAAAAATATATTTATGGTATTCAGCACACTGGTGGTTGGTGAATAAGTTAGAGAGCTGGAGATGTCAGGATGTGCACTGTCACACAGGCCACATGTTACCAGGGAAAGGTCCCAGATTGGAGGTTTGTAAATCAAATTGGAGTTCCAGCTCCCCTATTTATTTATTTGTTTTATTATTGAGATGTAGGGTACAAGTGAGGATTGACTATGTAAGTTCCAGCTCTCCTGTTTTCCTATTTATTAAAAGCATGCTACTGTACAGGTCTTTTTTTTTTTTTGAGTCAGGGTCTCACTCTGTCATCCAGGCTAAAAAAGTACAGCAATCACAGCTCACCACATCCTCAACCTCCTGGGCTCAGATGATTCTTCTGCTTCAGTCTCCCAAGTAGCTAGAATTATAAGTACATGCCGCCACGCCCGGCAGATTTTTTTTTATAGAGACAAAGTCTTGCTATGTTGTACAGGCTGATCTCGAACTCCTGGGCTCAAGCGATTTTCCTGCCTCCACCTCCCAAAGTCAGGTCACAGATTTTTTTTTTTTTGAGTTGGAGTCTCACTCTGCTGGACTCCGGCAGTCCTTCCGCCTCAGCCTTCCAAGTAGCTGGAACTACAGGCGCACGCTACCACGCCCGGCTCATTTTTGATTTTTGTTGTAGAGATGAGGTCTTGCCAAGTCGCCCAGGCGAGTCTCAAACCCGCGGGCTCAGGCAGTCCACTCACCTCGGCCTCTCAAAGCGCGGGATTACAGGCTGAGCCACTGAGCCTGGCCAGGTCACAGATTTTTGAACCTCGGTTTTCTTACCTCCAATGATGGTGAGGATCACGTGAGATGAGATATGTAAAAACTCCTACGGTATCATTGCAGGTTGCTTTTCGGAGTGACATGCATTTGAGACCAAGAATGTCTTCCTTTTTTGCCCACACTCATGTCCTCATCTTCTCTCCTACTTGTTGATGTTACCTCATCTCTGCCCACCCACTGCTCTCTGAGGTCCCAGCAGGAAGCAGGTGATAGACTGGGGAGACCCAGGACATCGGGACTGGGATAACCCCTCACGCCCCTCTGCTGAGGTCAGAGATAGCAATCCAAGGGGCAGGAGGCCTTGTAGACCAAGAAAGACCAGTCTCAGCTGAAGCCCTCTTTTAAGTGAACTCTGGCCTTGAGTGGGCCCAGAACAATAGTTTAGGTCTATATAAAACCTAGATCCCAGGGTTCCTTGTACCCAGGGACAGTGAACATAGGGGACAGAACCCTGAACCAGACCTGAGAAACCTGATTACACTTTGTTCTTTCACTCCTTGGCTCTGTGACCATCAGTAAGTCTCTTGCCCTTTATGAGGTCCCCTGTCTCCTCTTTTGGAAACAAAAAATGAAAAAGTTGTGTGTGCCTAAATCTGAATGTAAGTTATGAGTTGTAACTTCTTCGTCTCTCAGCAGTTGGCTAGATGGGATGTGACATGAAGAAAGGCATAGCCCGGGAGGGCACAGAAACTGCTTGGCCACAGCACTTAGTTTCAGCTTTAAATTCTCATCCTGGGGACGAGAGGTGTGGTGGAACCCAGCAGACTTCTTTATGAGGTTATCTCTGGTGTTTTGTTACTTTACCTGACTCCAAGTGAGACTTGTTCTCTTAGGACCTGCTTATTCAGTGAAAAAGCATTAGTTTTGTTCCTTTTTTGTTCCTCTCAGTATCCAGCGAGCAGCATTGGTGGTCCTGGAAAATTACTACAAAGATTTTACCATCTATAATCCAAACCTCCTAACAGCCTCCAAATTCCGAGCAGCCAAGCACATGGCTGGGCTAAAAGTCTACAGCGTGGATGGTATGTACCTTGAGACTGGGTGTGTGATGTATGTACATACGGGGCACAGTTGGGGGTCTGGTATGCTTGGTTCTACTTCCTCTACTGCCTACCTTTATAGTTCATTCTCACTTCAGAGCAGTTTTTTGAATGTAGGCAAACAGAATTTTAGAGGAATGCTGATTTACAGTCTACATATGTGGGAAGCACATTTATTTTGGGGATTTTTATGATTGAAAACAAGAGTGAGTTGTGTTGTCTGCCTCCTGCTGGGAACACCTTCTATTGGAAGCTATTATTGGGAAAGGCCTGCTTTTCAAAATCTGGATAAGTTGTCCACAGACTCAGAAAGCTACCTCAATCATTAAGACTAGAAATCTCAGTAGTTCAGGCATCTGATGAGAGAGACATGCATTTCTCCATTCTGGCTAAGAGCTGGAGTCGAGTGGATGGCAGAAGGCCGGAGGCCAGAGGCCAGGCCGGGGACATCTGAGCTGTGTTTCAGGGTATCGGATGGTTAAGTGCAAGAAACAGGACACGGTGTCACTTCTTGCTGTGTCACTTCTTGCTGGGTACCTCGGGTGAGGGCAAGAGCTTTACAAGCCCTAGAAGGTTGTCAACAAGTCAAGTGATTTAGATGCAATGTCGATTTTTGGTGGCAATATCCCCCCGATTTGTTTGTTTTTTTATTTTATTAGCTAGACAAGTTGTGAGCTTCCTCGTGAAGCCTGAAGGATTGGTCCATTTCACTGGGGATCTGAAAACCTAGCACAACACTGATTCCCACTAGTGGAACCAAGTCACCAAGCCAAGTAGGCCATCCATAAGAAAGCCTGAAATCTGCCTTATCTTTCAGAACCGTTAAGCAGGTCAGGGAACGAGACGGGCTTTTAGGTCTGTAGTAGTGAACGGGCCATTTTGCGTGTCCTCAAGCATTGGTATTTTCTGTACAAGTTGTGGTGCCGTAACATCCCAGCATAGCTTGTTTTCCGGGGTGTGATCAGTGTCTCATGTCCCTTGACTTTCTTTTTTCTCTGTCTGTCCTTGTTCTCCCCGTCCCTCTCATTCTCTCTCATTGTCTTGTCGCTGAAATGTGATGTCCCAGCTGCCCTTATGGCCAAACTGAAACTTTATGTAACGGATGGTGAGTAACGTCTCCAGCACATGCTGTGTGTTGTTTTTGGCCGACATTTTGATCGTGGCGCATTCTTCCTCCCCTTCTGAGTTCTTCTTCCATCCCCACCCGTCAGGTTGGGGCTTAGGGAGATTTCCCGCTCTCCTGCCTTGGGCTTGACGGACGCGGAGCTGGGGCGCAGTTCACGCTCCTGGGACGTTGCCTTTAGGACTGGTGCATCATAGGGGGCGGGTGGATGTCACTGACAGACAACGGTACTGGTTCTGCTCTGTTTCCTGGCCCCGTGGTATTAAAACTGTTCTCCCTCCACCGTCCTTTCCCCAAAGGCCCTGGTAACAGCGCCACAGGTCAGTCCCGGGCAATGATCGCTGCCGCGGCTCGCCGCAGGGACTCGAGCCACAACGAGTTGTATTACGAAGAGGCCGAACACGAACGGCGAGTGAAGAAGCGGAGAGCGAGGTGGGTTCCCCTCCTGACACCAGCACGTTCTGGTTTTCTTCTTCTTTTTTAAACCCTGGAATGAGATTTCTGTGGAACCAAGCGTATCTGGCTCTAGTGTGCCTTGCTCTTGGGCTTTTTCAAACACAGACCACAATTCCCATGCCCCGCCTGCAAAGGCTGCTCTGCTCAGTAGGGCTGGGTAGGGCCCAAGGTCTTGCATTTCTAGCAAATTCCTGGGGGATGCCGACACTGCCAACCCACCGCCCACACCTTGAGGGGGCCTGTCTTGCACCCGGACCCTTGTGGGCTTTCACAGTCTGATCATATCAGCTGAAAGAGACAGAGGTGGTGTCCATCATGTGTGCTGGACCTCTTCTCTCCTTTTCCTCAGGGACTGCTGGTGTGGGTGACTGGACGCAGCTGTGTTCCATACAGGGCTGCCTCTATGCCACCAGCCTCGCCTCTGTGCGCAGAACCTTTTTTAGCCAGAATTTGAGGAGCCTTAGAACTCTTTTCATCTAACTATAGCAGAGATGAACAAAGGATTGAAGTGAGTTTCTCACGCTCACTGTTGGCAGAATTGAGAACAGAGTTCCTCTCCCAGTCCTGGGGCTCCTTTCTCCTCACCCCTGCAGTGCCTGTCCCACATATTATTTTTGCCATTGCCTTTCTTTCTCCCTTGCTGCCCTCCCCACGCTCCGGGGGCAACCATGGGTGTGAGCAGCGTGAGCGGGCCTTGGGCGAGGTGGTGGCAGGTCGGGCCGCCGCGGGCTGGGCAGGTGTCATTCCGGGTCCCATAGGACTCCAACCTTGAGTCCCACGGCCAGCCCCGTCCTGAACGTGTCACCTCCCTTTCCAGGCTGGTGGTTGCCGTGGAAGAGGCCTTCATCCACATCCAGCGCCTCCAGGCTGAGGAGCAGCAGAAGGCCCCAGGGGAGGTGATGGACCCCAGGGAGGCCGCCCAGGCCATCTTCCCCTCCATGGCCAGGGCTCTTCAGAAGTACCTGCGCACCACCCGGCAGCAGCACTACCACAGCATGGAGAGCATCCTGCAGCACCTGGCCTTCTGCATCACCAACAGCATGACCCCGAAGGTGTGCAGCGTGTCACCGGGTTTGACCAGTCGAATTGTAGGGTGCGGCTAGGAGTGATCAATCAAAGCCCTCTACAAAACATCCACTGGCAAGAATGAGTGATTCTCACTTATTTTATATTATCCTAGAGCAATTGTTTTTTAAATGTGCCTTTCAAAGGCTGCTAGATTCCAGAGAGAAGTTTCACCTAGAGACAGTATACAGTACAGTAAGTCCCCTACATACGAACCTTCAGGGTACAAATTTTTAACGATGCACACCTGCATTTTTTATGTATTATTTCTCTCCACCAGGTATCATTATAGCTCGTTAAGTATATACAGTACTATACAGACAATTGTGTTAAATTGAGTACCTAGGCTGACTTAGTTGAACTTAAAACAAATTGGACTTACAAACGCACTCTGGGAACAAAATTTGTTTGTATGTTGGGGACTTCCTGTAGTGATCATGGCTGCTCTGTGGATTCTGGAGCCAAATGGACTCATTCTAACCCAGTTCCTCTACCAGCTAGCTTTGTAACCTTGGACAAATAGCTTTGTGGCTTTGTGCCTCGGTTTCCTAGCCTGTAAATTGGGTTTAATACCAATAACTACCTCATGTGGTCATTTGAGGAACTGAAAGATTTGATTTATGCAAAATGTTTTAAACAATACCTGTCATATGATAAGGACTGACTAAATAGCTGCTTTCGTTTTTAGTGGTATAAATAATGCCATCACTTTTTTAGGCATTCTGGATATTGTGGAATTAGCTTTACTGAATGGTCTTTTGGATTACGATCTTAGCATGCCTTTAGAGATACTCCAAGAAGCAGGCATGTATCTGATATTGTGGCCAAGGAGGCAAATAGAATAAGGGTGCTGCAAATAACTTCTCCAAGAAAAGATGAGTTCAGTTCCTGGCTCCACCACTTATGGGTGTGTGACTGTGCACAAGTTACTCTACACTTGTTTTCTCTCTTATAAAATGGGAGTAAGAGTAATATCTACCTGGTAGGGTTGTTGTGTAGAATTACATTAACAGCAACATGACATGTAAGTCACGTGGCAGAGGGTAAATGAGCTTGCCACATAGGGCACATGTAACATTTGGTGATAGTTGCTTATGATAAGGACCTGTTGATACGTTTTATTACATGTGTGTCTTGCTGATTACATTGTCAACCAATAATAACCCTTAGGAAAGCAACACAGAAATATTTCATAAGAAACCAGAAGGTTTTCTGTAGTCTTATCTTACAATCCCTGTTTTAGGAAAAATATTTAGCACAGTCAGATGTACACATGAATATACACAAAAGAATCCGTACTACCTCCAAGCTGGAAATAATTTAAAACAATAACAGTGGCTTATAAATTATAGCATATCAACTGTTGAACCATGGAAAAGTAGTTGTTAGGAATATTGAGTTACAAAAAGGAAAACACAAAAAAAGTGTGAACACTGTGGTAGCAAATGAGGAAAATATATCTGCCGGTGTAAACTGATGGCTTGTCTTGTAGAACCAAAACAACCAGAAGTTGTTTTCCTTTCTTTAAGATTTTGAAGAGTTTTATAGTTGCTTTCTGCTTTTCTGTAAAAATTTTATTATTTCATACTAGCTGTTCTTTGTATAAAAATTAAACATTAGGCTGGGCACAGTGGTTCACGCCTATCATCCCAGCAATCTGAGAGGTCAAGGCAGAAGGATCGCTTGAACCCAGGAGTTGGAGACCAGCCTAGGTGGGCAACATAGCAAGATCTCGTCTCTACAAAAAGCCAAAAAATAAGCCTGGTATGGTGGCACATGCCTTAGTCCCAGCTACTGAGGAAGCTGAGGCAGAAGGTTTGCCTGAGACCAGAAGGTCAAGGCTGCAGTGAGCTATGACTTTTTCACTGCATTCCAGCCTGGGTGACAGAATGAGACCCTGACTACAGAAAAATAAAATTAGACATTCAAGAAAAGTGAGAGTGAAGGATTCATCCCCACAAACAGTTCTTGGTGATAAAAAGTTAGTGTAAGCCGGGCTCGGTGGCTCAGCCTGTAATCCTGCGCTTTGGGAGGCTGAGGTGAGTGGATTGCCTGAGCCCGCGGGTTCGAGACCCGCCTGGGCAACTTGGCGAGACCTCATCTCTACCATAAATCAAAAAATTAACCGGGCATGGTAGCGCGCGCCTGTAGTTCCGGCTACTCGGAAGGCTGAGGCGGAAGGATCGCCGGAGCCCAGCAAGTTGAGGCTGCGGTGGCCGGGAGCTGCCACTGCACTCCAGTCTGGGTGACAGAGTGAGACTCCATCTCAAAAAAAAAAAGGGTATATTTTTTCAAGTGCATATGTATATTTTTTAAAGGAGAAATGGAAAACAAAACAAATGGGATTGTCTGTCTCTCTCTACCCCTCCTCTCCACCATTTATATGAAACTTGCATATTTTACTTGAGGCTGCCCCTTGGCTATGTTTCCATGCCAACACATACAAATCTAACATACAGATCTCACTCATTCCCTGCTAGTAGCTGCATCTTACTCTATGATTTGTTTAACTGATTGCCTGTTGATACACACTTGGATTAAGAGTTTTCAGTCATCAAAGCCAGGGGCTGGCTGTTTTGTTCATCAGATTTTATGGGAGCACAGCCACGCCCTTTTATTTACACATCACTCATTGCCGCTCTCATTCTGCCTCTACATAGTTGAGTAGTTTTGGCGAGGTGTGGCTCAAAAGGCTGAAAGTATCTACATTGATTGAAAAGTTTACCAACCTCTGGTCTAGAAAATATTGCAGTGAATATCTTTTTTATATGTATCTTTTTTTAATATATTTGTGCAAATATTTCTGAAACATAGACTTCCAGTAGAGGAACAGCTGGGTCAAAGTTATAGATCTGGCCAGCTCATCCTTCTAGAGGGTGCTACCTACCATGGTGTACTTTTTCCTCTGGTGTCTGAGACTTTTTATTTCCCCACACATGGCAGCATTGGGTGTTACCATTTTCTAAAAAAATTATTACCCAACTAAGAGGAAGAAACTATTTTTAAGTTGTTTTAATTTCCATTTCTTTATCTATTAATATGATAGAAAATTTTTCATGTTATCTTTTTCATGAATATGCTGTGAATTATTGTTTTTGTCTCATTTCTCTAATTGCAGAGTTCTTTTTCTTATGATTGATAAGAGCTATTTTTATAACAGAAGTGTGAATGCGGGTTAGGCCCTTCTTGTGGCTTACAGTAGATGCTCCACAGATCAGAGATGATCTACCTGGCTTAGCAGTGAGGTGTGAATGGAAGGGGATACTACTTAAGGGCAGTCTTTTTGGGGGGGGCAGGGGTCAGGGTCTCACTTTTTCACCCATGCTGGAGTGCAGTGGCATCATCGTGGCTGCTGCAGCCTTAACCTGCTGGACTCAGGCAATCCTTCTGCTTCAGCCTCCCGAGTAGCTGGGATTACAGGGCTGCACACCACGCCCAGCTCATTTTTAGGCCTTTGTAAAAATGAGTTTCACTATGTTGCCTAGGCTGATCTCAAACTCCTGCACTTAAGCAATCCTCCCTCCTTGGCCTCCCCAAGTGCTAGGTGTGAGCCCCTGTGGCTGGCACCACCCCCCAAAAAAGAGTCCTTGACTGTCTAGAGCCAGATTGATATATCCCAGTATGTCCCAATTACTGGCACATTCTTTCTTCTTCTTCTCACAGCGAAATCAGTGTGTTGATTCGATTTAACTCACATACTCTTGAGCTCCTAATATGTGCCAGGCACACTGGAAAGTAAAATTTAAAAGAAATACTTCCTGTCCCTCAGGAGAGTGGACCGTGGTGTGGGAAGCAGACACGCACGTCAGCAGTAATCACTCCAAATAAAAGGTCACATGAGAGCTGGTGAGCCCAGGAGCTTGGAGGGCTTGCGGATATGCCTGAGAGGTTCAGGGAAGGAGACTTCAGGATGCTCAGCACAGGGAGGGGTGTGCTGAGTGACAGCATTTTGCAGGAGAACAGCACCTGCGAAGATACAGCACGCTCGAGACTCCATCAGGCTGGGAGCTACTAGAGCAGAGACCTTGGGGGAGGGAAGGTGGTCCTTGGACTTGCCACGTGCAGTCAGTCCAACACAGAGTCATCCTGGTGCGCTCTGTGTGCCAGTCATTTCTGTGAGTGCTTTCTGGGAGCTGACCCTTGATCCTCATGGCAGCTCTGAGAGGCCGTATTCCCGTCCATGTCCATTTAAGAGAGGTGAAATGAATGACTTGTGCAGAACCCCAGCCAGTAAGGGGCAGGCTGTGGGTATTTGTTCACAGCTGCACACTCCTCTTTTATTCAGCTCCTGTTTACCTCGTGCTCCTCCGGGCCCAGCCCTTTCCCTGGCCCCATACCAGGGATTTAGAGGAGGATGTGGACGGATGTGTCCACGGGGCCCATACCCTTGGAGTAGGGTGATGCCTCAGCGATGGCTTCCCAGCAGACCCTGACACCGGCCACCCACCTTCCCCACCTCCGTGGTGACCAGCACCCCTGCCTTCTGGCTGGAGATCGGTACAGGACCACGAGGAAGTCCAAGAAGTCTCCCCTGGCTGATAAGGGGTCGGTTGTGAGGGTCTGATCGGCTGAGCTCTGGTCTAAGGTCTCAGTCTATTTGGAAAACATTCTTCACGTTTGCGAGAAGGACTAGCTGCCGGCAGGACTCTCCTTGCAAGGGCATGTGTCTTCCCTAACGGCTTTCTCTCCTCTGCTTTCAGGCCTTCCTAGAACGTTACCTCAGTGCAGGCCCCACCTTGCAGTATGACAAGGATCGCTGGCTCTCTACGCAGTGGAGACTTGTCAGTGACGAGGCTGTGACGAACGGATTGCAGGATGGCATCGTTTTTGTCCTGAAATGCTTGGACTTCAGCCTCGTAGTCAATGTGAAGAAAATTCCATTCATTGTACTCTCTGAAGAGTTTATAGACCCCAAATCTCACAAATTTGTCCTTCGCTTACAGTCTGAGACATCAGTTTAGAAGTTCTATGTTTGTGGCTTTATTGAAAAAAAAAAGATAAAGAAAAATAGAGAGAGATATATCTATGCCAGAGGGGTGTCTTTTTTATTATTATTATTCATTGCTGACTGAAACTGGCAGATGATAGACCAGTATCTTTTGACCATCTGCACTTTATTTGGAAGGAAGCAGGGGATGTCCACCCTGAAAAAAAGTGACCAACAACATCTGACTCTTGTAGACGGGACTTCTCAAGAAGCCATTCCCTGGAGTTTCTGTTACAGCTGTAAACCAAAGCGGAGCTGGTGCGTCCGTAGGAGTCTCACCTTATGACAACTAGTTCCTGCCTTTCGTCCAGTACCACATCCCTGGAGCTTCTGGCCAACCCACTTGTAGACTTCTAGGGGACATATCTTTATTCTGTTTCAGGAAACCAGTCACTACCAGTCCACACACGTACTTATGTATGTCAGTGTCCAGCATCATGTCCCCACCAGAGTCGTGGGCAGTTCAGGAAATACCCACCTTCGTCTTGGTTCTTTGTTGCCTTAGGTTGCTCAGAGAAAGATCACAGCAAAAAATGTGCACTCTCAGTTTACAGCTGTTAAGTGATTTGATTCTCCACACCCCCCGCCAAGAGAAAGCCTACCTAACCCCGTTTCTGATCCTGCCTCTCTACTGGCTTACAGGAGGTGACCCTCCCCTAGCCCCTTGACTGACGCCCGCCTGGTCTCTATTCCATCCCGCCCCTGCCTGGCTGGCAACCCTGGCCAGGCTGAGTGGGACTTGACTGCACACCCCTGTACCACACCCACCCACCCATCCCACCCATCCCCCGACCCGACAGGCTCCTTACATGGCCTCAGGTCTGTGCCATGGATTGCTTCCACGGGGACGTGTGGAAGGCCCAGCAGGTGGGCACAGGGAGTGCAGGCTGGCCAGGCTGCCCCTTGCAGGCTCTGGAAGGAGCCCCGCCCACCCAGCTCTCCTCCCCACTGCACCGCATCAACCAGGTGAGACTCACACTGTGACTCCGGGGTTGGCAGATGCAACTTTGAGCCGTGTAAGTCCCATCACAGGCTGCCCTGCCAAGGGAGACCAAACCATGCCAGCCACACTGGCGACTACTGCTGTCCAGCCCTTGCACTTTCTGACCACTGTCACTGTGCAACTCATCACCTCTGCCACTAATGACCAGGAAAGGGGTTTGTTTAACTCCTGGTGTCTAAACGATCTTAGTTGTTGGTAAGGTGGGGAGAAGGAAGGTGGACACTGCAGAGTCCTGGGAGGGGAGGGGAGGGAGGGAGTTGATTTTGTCCACAGTGACTCATCTGTGGTCTGTTTCTTAACTGCAGCTGGTTTCGGTGGGCTTTCCCCCAGCCCCGGGGGAACAGATGCTGCCTGGGTTGTGGGCACAATAACTCCTTAAGGAGCTACGTCCAGACACGGCGGCACTGGGCTGTCCTTGCCTCCTGTATCTGCCAGAAAACTTTTAAAACTATTCACCCTCACTTCTCCATTAATGAGGGTAACCAGTCACCTTCCTGTAGGAGAGGTTGACCTGTTGGGTGTTCTTTGTACGTGGTGTGTACCCTAACCCCTTACTGTTCATGCATTCCACAGTATCTTGTGTCATTTTAAAAATCACAATTGGCTTTGGACATTTGTAATACACTGGTATCTGCAGAAGTAAGCAGTGTTCTTCAATCACCAGCCTTCTGCTCAAAAGGATGCATCAGAGAAGGAGGGAGCGGGGAGGCCCATGGGTGTGGCATGGAGCCAAAATGTACTATTTAAATATGTGGTTCCACTGATGAAACACACATACTGTGTAATCGTGGTGCTTTTGTTCTTAGTTTCTACCTTTAGGTCCCTTCAGACTCGAAGTTCCTTCTGATGGCTTAAGAGATTTTTGAGAGGAAGGGTAAGGGGTGGTGAATGTGAGACTTGGGCTGTGTCAGAGGCTGCTGGATCATGGACATGGCTCGGTTGGAAGTGCCCTGAACATACATACACTGAGTTAATAATGACACCATTCACCAGCAATTCTGAGATACTGTGCTTCCAACCCTGTCTTAATTTACCAATCCAGAAGGGGTTAAATTGGGTTTATTTGCTTTGGCATATGCATTCCCAGCAGGGTGAAGAAAGGTTTAAATTAAAGAATTTATTTTCTTTTTTCCTCTTCCTCTCTCTACTAGTGTTTGCATAGGAGAAAGTTAGACTTCCAGAAATCATTGTTTCTGTTTCAAATTGAGTATTGATTTTTTTTTTTACATTGACTTTGTATCAAGTCCTTTTTGAAAGAATAACAAAATCAAATGCAGGATCTTTGTAAAGCCTTTGCACTTTCAACCTCTTAATAGCTTGAGTTACCTGTGCAGTGGAAACAATGTAAATTACATCACAAAAATTCCGGGTTTCAGAAAGCTGCACCACACAGTTGAACTTGTCCCCTTTTTTTAAAAAAGGGATGAACTGTGCCCAAAGATTGGCAGAATAGGCGGTCATATTATAGGAGACAGGATTTCATTTGCCTGAAGCGTTGATAGATTTTCTATCATTTTCAGCCCAAGTTACTAAGATGTGAACACTAAATGTTAAACAGAAGAACTTAATAAGGGGTACATGTCTGAGATTACTGTCTTCCCTGGTGGTGTTTTAACCAGCAGCTAACTTGTTCTCAAGTGTATACTTTTGAAGTTATGACCATTTTTAATAGTCCACGAACTGAATGTTTAGAGTCTGCATTCTTAGAATGGGAAGAAATTTTAAGGCCATGTATTTCATCCATCCGTTGCGTTATCAAAGTGTGAAGTCAAAATGCCTAATACTTTTGCCAGTGTTCATAAAGTAAACCCCGGAGAAGATGTCAACCACCAGTTTTTGACTCAGCTATCATCATCTTCCTTCCCTGCCCCCTCTGTTTTCCCCTTTTGGAATCTATACAGAAGACTAATTCTTTACAGAAAATGCCTCGGTGTGTGTGTCATGTTGTGGTTCGTTGCCTGGAGCTTGGGGCTCCTTTTTTAATGGGGAGATCGGTTATGCTGGTGTGTGTTGGATAGGAAGAAGGTGCCCACCCCTCACCTCGTTATAGCGGTTGGTGGTAGTCAGATCTTATTTTGCCTCTCATCTTCACTTCGATGTATTTACATAACAGCAGTAGCTCTGTGGGACACTACCGGCGTCTTGGACTGATAGAAATTGATTACCCTGCTGCTGTAACTCGTGACTGAGTGAGTCTTCCAACCACTCAGCAAAACTGACAAAACTTAGGGCACCCTCTTCCGTCTGGGCCCTGCTCTGCACGGCTCCCTCAGCAGAGAGGCTTGTTTGTTTGTGGGTATTTGTTTTCGTCTATGTGAACACTCTGCGTCGGTATTACCAGGCGGACAGCACGTTTATCTGAGAGACATCTTAACACCTGTGTCATCTGCAGCTGACAGGCATGTATCTCAGTGGGTGGATACGTGTGAATGTGTATGCAACTGAGTGTGTGAAGGTGCATGCATATTTCTGATGCCCTGTGTTTGAGAGATTTCCTATTGTTCCCGTCTTTTGGGAGGTTACTTGGAAGCCAGTGGTTCCCTCCCCAACTTTATTCCTTTGTCACTGGCTTCTCACTGGAGTGAATGGCTTCTGGGAGGCCCGCTGTCCTGCAGGCAGGTCCATTCACCTCTCCCTTGCTTTAGCATCCCGAGACCCGAAAGCAGCAAGAAACAGACAAAGGTTAGATTCGATGAGAATTACTGTTCAAATGTCGCTACCCTGGAAGCCTTACTGTGTCTTTCTTAATGTAACTTAAAATTGGGCTTTATTAAATTTAAAAAAAAAAAGGATTCGTTACTAAAAGTAGCACAGAGATGTTATATTTATTTAGTCCTGCAGTAGAGACCCTGCGATTGTAAAGTGATGTAAGTATTTCTGGGTAGTGTTTGTGCTTTATGGATTTGTTACAAAAAAATAAATCACTACTGTGAACTTACTACTATGTAACCTTGTGGTCGGATTCCATAATAAATAAAATATGAATCGTTCTTAAGCCCTGTAGCACAGTTCTTGATTGGGATTCAGTGCAGCATTGAATTGAGATAGTATAGGCACTTTATTGGAATAACTGTGTTGAGTTTTAACCAAATGTAGGCTCAGAAAATGAGATTTTGGATCACATTTTGACAACATTTTGGCCAAAGAAGAAAGACAAGCGTACTAACATACTGTTAATACTGTTCTACACAGCCTTGGTATCCTCACACTTGCGGAAGGTAGGAGTTATCTTGACTTTACAGGTGAGAAAAAGGAAGGTCAGAAAGGAAGGGACCCTCCAAGTCCTCATGGTTTGTAAATGGAATTTCAAGCTAGATGTTTGATTCCAGCGCCCCGGTCCTCTGTACCTTGGAGTGTGGTATAAACGAAAACGATTTGACATTTCTGGACATGGAGGAGGGGCCTAGAGGTCACTGGACTGGGAGATTCACTGGGAGGGTCACTTTTACTTTGGGTTTACACCTTGTGGTCCCTTGGGAAGCTTCTCCACTATGCCAGCAGGTTTCTTAGGCTATTTGATGGAAAGAACTTAAGAAGCCCCCCTCCCCCAGGAAGATCCAGCCCCACCAATGTTGCAGCTGCCACAGAACAGGTGCTGTTGTTCCTGGCAGCTGCCCTTTGCTTTTGCCTCTTCCTCCTGGCTGGCTTGGACAGGATGTGCTCCTTGGGCCACGGGTGCAGGCAGGTGTGCACAGACTTGACCTGGCCTCTAACTGGTGCTTGTGCCCCAAGCACCCACCCTGCTTGGGCACGAGAGAAGCTGGAGGCCTTGGCCTGTCTCCTTGGCATCCGTGTTCTCGGCAAGCAGTTTGCCCCTTCCTGTTTCCCCCAGATGTACTCTCAAGACTTGACAGCACGGACATAAAAGAGGGTTCTGAGAACACCATTGTTTGTTTCTGTGTCTGCACGTTTTGATTCAGGTGTGCATCAACCACCTTTCTCTGCCCGGCTGCTTGCTTTCAGGGGAAGACAGGACAAGGGAAGATAGATGGTGCTCCCATCTGTCAGTGTTGCTTCTCGTATGGAGCTAAGATGAACTTTCAAAGAGTGGATAAGGAATGTAAAACTACTGAATAAGATTAGATTTTAGGGCTCTGTGAGCCCCTTTTGCCAGGTCCTGTTCTATTTCTACATAAATAACCCAATTTGTTTCACCTGTAAAGTAGGTCTCTTTAGTGGGTGCTTTTAGCATGTTCCCCACAAAATAGTTTCTTAAAGCCTTATACAGCACAGTGAAAAGTCATTTTCAATGTGGCACCAAAAGACTTCTGTTGATGTCTCTCTCAGCTTAAAAACATCTGTGTTTTGTCCTTGTCTTAGTGAAATAAAGACACTTTTAAGCCTCAGGGAGAAATGTGACAAACCCCAGGCTTTTATCTTAAAAATGTCTTTGGCACTTATTCTGGCACTGAAATTATGTTTGGATAACAATATTTGAATGTATAGTTGTCTGGTGTTGTGTGTGCTTGTGTTTATCTGAGCTTTTACTTGTGGGTATGGACGTTCATTGTGAAGCTCACCATTTAGGAGTTTCTAAACCCTGAAAAGCCCTCAGCCTAGGAAAGCTTCATCTGTGAGGACCAGAGACTGTCACTCAGGGAATTATTGATGGGACACGGGCATCTGATCCGCAGGTAACAAATTTCATTCAACTCAGGTTGTAGGGAGCTGAGTTGCACACCATCATCATTCTAGGGGCCAGGTAGAAAGACGTGACAGTTGCTTTTCATCTGCCAGTGCCCCTCAGTTACGGAAGGAATGCGATATTTACTTGGTGTCCATCATCACTCTTTAAAAAAAGGAACATGACGGTCTAAACTTCAGCAATCATTTATTTTTATAGTGGATTCACTGTAGGCTTTCATTAATGGCAAATCCTCTGGGACCCCTAAATTATGATGTGAACCAAATTTGATTTCCAAGCAGTCATTTAAGAGCACAACTATTGCGTGAAGTGCAGGATACCAGCAAGGATGAGGGTCGAAGCAGATACTGGCTCACTGAGGTGGTGAATTTAACTCACCTTGTGGGTGCCCCTTCCTCAGCAAAGGTGCTAGTGAGAGGCCCGGAGAGCCTGGTCCAGGTCTCAGCTAAGAGGAGAGTATTTGACAATTGCTTTTGTTAGAATGACTTTACATTTCTGGATTTTGAATCCAGCATCAATTCAGAAAGTTCAGTGATGAAACCATTTGTCTGTATCTGATTGAGTCATAACTGTGCAGGGACCTTTTACGTTCTTTTTGAGTAGTTAATACTTTGTAACCAGGAGGGACAGTTTGGCCAACCAGCTCTACTCATGGTCACCGTATATGTATGACAAAGCTTGAGTGTGAGTGCCTGCATTAGCTGGGTGGTGGGCTCCATCGAGACATGCCTAAGCATGTAAACGGGTGAAGTACACTACCAGCGACCATCTGCACAAGTCTGTTTACTTACATTCATAAGGTTCATGCTATGAAACCTCTTCCCATTATGATGTCAGTAACAGCATTATCATCTCGGATAGACACGGTGTACCTGTCATCCAAGTTACTATGTTCTCTTTTGGGTCCTCCAATTATAGCCCTCCCCCATCCCAATTAACTGTAAAACATTTTACACATTACATTTTTTATACTGTAAACTTGGAAAATAAATTGAAACCCCAAATCATATGTTGTTTTTGTCTGCAATCTAAAAAGCTGTTTGCTTTTCTTTGGGTACAATGGTGCACACCTGTAATCCCAGCACTTTGGGAGGCCAAGGCAGGAGGATTGCTTGAGCCCAGGAGTTCAAGACCAGACTGGGCAATGTAGTGAAACTTCGTCTCTACAAAAAAAATTTTAAAAATTAGCTGGGCATGGCAGCTCATACCTGTAGCCCCAGCTACTCTGGAGGCTGAAGTGAAAGGATTGCCTGAGCCCAGGAGGTCCAGGCTGTATTAAGCTGTGATCATGACACTGTACTCCAGCCTGGGCAACAGAGTGGGACACTGACTAAAAAGAATTTTTTTTTTAACTTTTTAGGGAACATTTTTACTTTTGCATCATTTTGAGACCCTCTTAAAGACAACCTGTCATGTTTCTGTGAAAACCAAGAGAATGCCGGGCTCGGTGGCTCAGCCTGTAATCCCGTGCTTTGGGAGGCTGAGGTGAGTGGATTGCCTGAGCCTGCAGGTTCAAGACCCACTTGGGCAACTTGGCAAGACCTCATCTCTGCCATAAATCAAAAAATAGCCGGGCGTGGTAGCGTGCGCCTGTAGTTCCAGCTATTCGGAAGGCTGAGGCGGAAGGATCGCCGGAGCCCAGCAGATCAAGGCTGCGGTGGCCGGGAGCGGCCACTGTACTCCATTCTAGGTGACAGAGTGAGACTCCAATTCAAAAAAAAAAAAGAAAGAAAACCAGGAGAATTATAATGATAGATTGGGAAAGTAGAATTACCATTGTAACAAAAACTGGTTGTCAATCTTTTTACGGTGAAGAAAATCTTTTAAGTGAATAGATAACTAAAAAAGAAATTCTGGCAGGGCACAGTGGGTCATGCCTATAATCCCAGCACTTTGGAAGGCTGAGGTGAGAGGATTGCCTGAGCCCACGGATTTAAGGCCAGCCTGGGCAACTTGGTGAGACCTCATCTCTACAATAAATCAAAAAATTAGCCGGACATGGTGGTGCATGCCTATAATTCCAGCTACTTGGAAGGCTGAGGTGGAAGGATCACCTGAGACCAGCAGGTCGAGGCTGTGGTGGCTGTGAGCGTGCCACTGCACTCCAGCCTGGGCGACAG